ATTACTTGTTCGACTGATAATATGAGCTAGTTTATATATAATAGTGTATGATAACTTAAAATTTTATAAGAATAATTATTAATTAAGTTGTCACGATTTTATACACAAAACCAAAAAATATTTGATTTTTTATTTATTATTTGTTGTTTTTTTTATTTTTATGTTTGTTATGAAATAAGAATTTGTTTTAAGTTAATTATTAAATGCGTTCTGAATATTTTGCAAATTGTTTTATAAATAGTTTTCATGCCTTATACCAACGATAGTTAAAAAAAGTAGAATGGGACAAATTTGTCACGACGGCGGTTCAAGAGGGGTCTTAATCTTCGGCGCTTCTAGTGTTAAGTTAAAAGCTTTTTTTATGATATCAGCTATACCATTTTTATAAATATTTTCGTCAATGTGTTTTAGATTCGTTTTTACTACTATTACAATGAAATCTTCTTGAAATTTATATGTTGATTAAAAAAAAAAATATCATCAGAATTAGAGATGAATTGTCCCAGGATTTACTCATATAAATTATCAGTACGTTTGTGATCAAAGTAAATTATTATCAACAGTAATAATAAAATAAAATATACTTTTATAGCCAGAAACATCGATGATTTTATGCGCAGTCAAAAAAGCATCCGATAAAATGACAAAAGACCTCGAGGTCGAGCCCCCACGCGCTGGATTGACCTCATCACCAGCACTACGAAAGCCACCGCAGTACAATGTGCTCGTATTGCTAACAGCCGCCTCCAATGGAGGAACATCGCAAGACGTGCGGCTGCCCTGGAAGCGAACAGCGACGACGAGACGCAATCCTGTCCATCGACAGCCACGACCACTCTGCCAAGAGTGTCCGATTAAGAAGAAGAAACTGACATAATTGTTTTATTGTAATTTTTAATTAAATATTAATTGCTACGGACCTAACAGATTGCACTCAGAGACTTCAATGTGCGCTTAAGTAACATTAAACGTGTTCATTTGCGAAATTAAGGCTGGTTAAACGAGCCATTTATTCATAAATGAATTTGATCCTCGATGAGCTTTAATGGACGTCTCTGTGTGAATGAATCCGCAAATGATTTAAATTAAGAATTTATTTTCCCGTCAAAAAGTTTACGTTACGCATGCCCGGTTTCTGAAACACTGATCTTCGTAGATGTTAACTAATCAGCTGTCAAACGGATTTTCAAAGTTGTCAAATGGTTTTTTAAATGTCATTTGAGTTGCCAAAAAGATGACTCTCTGAATTGATCACTCTGATCATTAAGAAGATCATTCGGGTCAATTCAGAGAGTTTTACCATCATTTGGCAACTAAAATGAAATTTGAAAAGCCATTTGACAGCTGATTAGTTGATATTCACGATGATCAGTGTTTTAGAAACCGGGTGTCAGAATTGCCATTCGCGAAGGCGGTTGCTACATAAAACCACTGGCATAATACAAAATTTTATATAGAAACCTAAACAACACGCGACTAATTATTCCCTCAAAAATACTCTATAAGTTTCTAAGTTTACAACTGTTTACACGTTTTAACCTTATAAACAATTGGCAGAATCGTAGATTAAAAATAAATATGTGCTTCCTACAGAGCACATATTTGCGCAGCTGATTCCTGCTCTTGCGATTGGAATTAATTACTTTATAGTGCGAATGCTTGGAATACATAATGCCCGTTGAGAGCTGACCAGAAATAATTTCTGTGCTTAGAAACGCCTCGAGGGCACCATTGACTATTTACTAAATTGTCAACGGAGCAGTGGTAACGAAGGCATTAATAATTTTATTGCGTTTAAAATGACATCTGCACGGCCATAACAATCGTTGGGGACAATCGATAATCAAGACAACGGTTTTAAATTGTAAATTTTTGTAGATCAACGAACGAAAACTTTCTGCGCTGCGAGATTCAATCCTGCGTCTTCTAGTTATGCACCCAGTCGCTTTACCAGCTAACCTAAGCGAGCGATCATATGGTACAAAGATTTATAGTTTAAAATTTCATCTTGATTGCAGAGACTAGCGCTAAAAATAAAAATCGCTCCTAAAATTCAAGACAGCGGTGTTATGTTGCTGATAGTTTTACAAAAGAGAATTAATTGTGATAAAGGTCTGCAGATTCTCTTTGGGAGTGTCAACATGACTACTTCAAACAATTTGTAAAAGCTACCTTAATGGCAAGGGCTTATTATAATATCCAAGAATACATAGAGTACAAGGATGTTTGGAAATGACTCTTGCTCTGCACTTGCAAGACCCCTGCGGCTGCTGCTGATTTTATACCCAAATAAGTGTGTATAATTGCATTAAAAAAAATATATATATAACAAAAAGAACAAGACCGCAGAGTTTCTTGCCGGTTCTTCTCTGTGCAGGTCTAGTTTAGTGAACCGGTGGTAGATTTTTGTTGACGTTCAATAAGAGCTTAAGATAGGCCTATATTGAATAAATATACTTTGACTTTGACTTGACTTTGAACTACCCGGTGACTAACACTGCGGAAATGTTGGTGCAAGGTACAGTCGAGGATGTTCACCCCCACGATTTGCGTTTGTTCATCACTAGGACGTCCTAGTTACAAACGCAAAACACGTACATACGTATGTACTCGGCTTACGTTGAACGATTTGCCTGGTACTAATGACTATTTTTCAGAGACAACGTTTTTAAGTCATTACTATTGCCCTATACATGTACAAAATCTGCAGGTTATATTTTTCCCAAGTTAAAGCCACGGTAAACTTATTCGCCAGCTTAAACCTTCTGTTAGTCAGCGGTAGTTCCCTTGCCCAACCAGATAAAAAGAATACATGAGATCATGAGCATTTGTTATGGTGTTTTCCTTTATCTTCTATAAATTGCATCCCATTAAAATAATCACAAAAAATATAAAAAATATATAAGAAAAGTTTTAAGAGTTCAATTGCTTTGTGCTTTTGTGCTTTTAAAGTTTCATGTTATGTGCAAATATTAGCACCATAAACATTTAAACAATCATACGTTTTTGCTAGAGTCAAAAGTATATTAATTTTCCTTTTTTTTTTAAATTTACTTTCTCGAAACATATCATTTGTTTGCTCGATTATGTATTCCCACTGCATTAAACAAACTATACTTGAACTCTAAAACCGTGGAAACGCAAAGAGATGGGAACGAAAACAGCTCGCAGCGCAGATTGAGAACAGAATCGGTAACATGGTTTAGAAAAAGCAATCTAACTGACACATAAATAGAGTTTGTTTTTAGAAAACAACTCTATATAAACAGCTACAGCTGTCATACACTTTCTAATTACCTCATTGTTCGTGTAATGAAAAATACAATGGAGCGGCGGATGCGACCTGCTGTCATTAATAAAAATTGTCTATTGTTGTAAATTCAGATTCCGGCTATTAATTATTAAATGCTTCATATGACATAATCCGTTTCCCTCACCTACGTAATTAACGTTTTCCTTCCTTTTGGGTACGGAACCCTAAAAAGGGTTCCGTACCCAAAGAGTAATACGGAACCCTATTACTAAGACTCCCCTCTTTTTCAGTCTGTCTGTCACCAGGCTGTATCTCGTTAATATAGGAAGACAGTTGAAATTTTCACAGATTATGTATTACTGTTGCCGCTATTACAGCAACAGAATATAATAAAAACGTTTAAGGGGGCTCCCATAACATAATGATTTTTTGCCGTTTTTATAGATAATGGTACGGAATCCTTCGTGCGCGATTCCGACTCGCACTTGACCGGTTTCTTCAAGACGCCATCACGAAGAACAAGGTCGTCTGAATGTGACGTCACTAGTGTCGCCCGTGATATTATATTTAATTGTGCGTCTATCAAACCAAACGTAATCTATGTTAAACTATTAAATAATTTAAATTATCTAAATAAAAAAAAACTTACCAGTAACATCACGTTGGCTGTATTAAATATTGTAATCAAATAAAAATCTTTTATTTTAGACGTTGGCTGAAAGTTACATTTTTAAGTTTTGAGTCTATAAAATTTAAAAAAAGAAAAAAAGCAACAAGTGATGTTTATCCAGGTTCTTTATTTTCTCTATCACTTAATTATGACAGAGTAAACGCGCCTGTCTGGCTGCCGGGTAAAGTCAAAGGCAAAGTCAAAGTAAAATATCTTTATTCAATATCTATATTGAATAAAGATATTTTACTTAAACTCTTAAGCATACACTTACTTATTAATAGTCAAAAAAACTCAAAGATCTCGGTACAGAGGGTATTAGGGCATAGTCCATCACTCGGCCCCACTGCGGATATTCGCATACCTTCGAAATATTTTTTTTTTTATTATTTCGAAAATATGCAGCTTGGCTCGCGATGGTGTCCTTCACCGCTGAACACGTGATAAGTCAGCTTTTAAAATTATCAATTTCATTGGTGCCGGCACAGGAGACCGAACTCAGGTTGCTCGAGTATATTGAATTAAAGGCGAGCGCCCGGGCAATGACCTATCAGGGTTCATAAACGTAGACTTGGCCTTTTTAAGAAAAAAGAGAAAATTATCGTAGATAGGTCTCGGAAAAATATGGCGGAAAAATATACACCGCTTAATAACTTCATTCAACATTTCAAAATTGTGATGTGGATATCCATTTTGATAGGTTAAATATTTTAAAGAGGAAGGTACTAATACATTACACAGCCCAATATTTTTTTCATTTTAAAAGTTGTTTTTCCTTCCTCTATTTTTTCTATTTATACATTATATAAGTTAGGTTTTTTTTTTTGTCTGATCTAATTTTATTATTTTATTGTAGTGATAGTTTTATAGGTTACTGTTCCCCTTAAAGGAAGTCTTTTATTATATGTTGTGTTTACCTTTAATTTAAATGCATATATACAATGTTTAAGTGCACCTCATAATAATTGTTTCTTTATGTATTTAGTTGGTAAGCCTTGTTAAATAAATAAATAAACAAACTGCCTTGCTGCAATTGCTTAATATCATAAAGTAAGTGCTAAAAATTACGAAGATTTAGGGCCAGTCGCTGCTCGCGTCTGATACCGAACAGTTTACTTTGGCGTCGTAAAGTAGACGTTGCAGAAGGCAGATGCTCACGCGCACGCGCCCATCGCCCGACTGAATTATCGGACGGTCGTTTATCGTGCCGTCTTGTGCTGTGGATACGTTTGCGGCCGTGTGATTGGCTCCGGCGATACGTGACTCATTGGGACCTGCTGGTGGTAAAAAAAATATGTTTCGATTAATGATTTTTTTAATTACATTGACTTGTGCATTGCGGTATTTAAAACAATTAGCAAAGCTGTAACCAAAGACTGCTAGCATATGTGATTTTGCAAATTGATTTATGACATGGCGACCACTTAATTAAGTAAGTGTTCTTATTTTTTTTTTTTTATGTGAAAAGTTGCCAAACGAGCAGACGGTTCACCTGATGGTAAGTGAATACCGCCGCCCATGGACATCTGCTACACCCGAGGGTTACAGATGCGTTGACAACCTTTTGAAAATTGGGCGTTAAGAGTTAATAAGAGAATTGATATAGTATTTCGTGTTTTTAATTTGTTTTTATCTTTATTAGCATTACCGCCAAAACTCTGCATTACACCTACGTATAAGGATATAGTAAAGGTTTTAATAAAATCTATATTAATACTTAAAAATAATTAACTTAACAATTACTCAAGAAGTACTACTTTCACGAGTAATTGTTCTCATTACAACATAAAAATAAATCATAAATAGAACGTTCCGTCAAGTAATTTAATTGCAAATTTATCTTGCGACTCGCGTAAAATGCACACCACTTGTAATCGCGAAATATATTTTGACACAGCCTAGAAACTAAGTACAGTCGCATATAGCTGCGTTATCAAGAATAAATTTGAAACGTTTGCTTCCACTGTACAAGGGTGTCCTTATTTCCCGTATCCCGGATAACGGGTTACATTAGGAGCGGCCCGTCCCTCACAGGCTACAAATAACTCAGTCGCGGCGAGATTTGTTGTTGTCGCCATCCATTGTCGCGGCGACACTGCAGTAATGAAAGCCTTATCGCCGCGACTGTACCTCACCGCGCCGCTTATCTCCGTCACTGTACCTCAAGCCGGGCTAATCGGGATGCGTACATTTGAATGAGAAGGTGGGCTCGGTTACGCGATTTGGCATTAAGGTTACGTTTTAATGACTATATAATATTATTTAGTCTTTAATTCAACAACTTGGAATATTAATGTGCTAAAACGTATAAATTAATCTAATTAACAAACTTAAAAATTATATCTAGTAAAACGCTATAAGCAAACTTAAATAACATTGTAACTAATAAATGATAAAATAATACAAAATACATACTAGAACAATGAAACTAAAACTAAAAACTAACTAATGATTATATTATAAAAACAAGTGGAATATAATGTAAAGAACTAAAAAACCCGACTGCTTTTCTGTGTATTTTTTTATTTTGATATACCCAGTGCACCCAGTAAATACGAATCTAACGACACTTCTCAAGCTAAAATCCATCAAGCCGTTCAAACTGCAGACCGCGCCAAACAATTATACATAGGTACATATATACATACTCTCGAAAAACATAAGCCTCCTAGCGCAGTCGGGTAAAAAACCTTTAACCATGTATAATGTCATTCAACTTTTTCAACCATTGATACGAACAGTCGCTATTAGACGCAAAATAATGAATTTATAACACAACATAATTGTATCGATAGCTTCGGCATGATGCTTTTTGGAGTACACAAATATGGAAAATGTTAGGAATTAAATACGATACGGTATTATAAACGCTTGAGCGTTTCGTATCAACACTTGATCCTTATATGATATTTGTACGAACGCGATGTAGTTTTGGTTAATAAAGAGAAAATTTTGTTAGGAATGATACAGGCTTCGTTGGCTAACTTAGGCATCATCTATGAAAATCTCACGGTTAATGGTGATTGGCCAGCCACGGTGTACTGTAGGCTAAAATGATATTCAGAGCATTAGTTATTAACTAACTTTATTAAGTTAGTTAATAAGTTATTAACTAACTTTATAAAGTTAGTTAATAACTAATGCTCTGAATAAACGTTATAACGTTGATTTATATAATATTCTCTCTTTTTAGTAGACTCTTCCGAACATTTCCCAGATCTATTATTTATTTAAAAAGTAACAAGAGAAATAATAAAATACCAGAATGGACTACTGCCTGATTTGGGGAAAAACAAAGAAATTTGATACTGAACATTGATATCGGATACTTTATCTTCACTACATAGTATAAAACAAAGTCATCCCGCTGATCTTTAAAACTACGCAACGGATCTTGATGTATTTTTTTTTACTAGATAGAGTGGTTTAAGAGGGAGATATATGTAAAATACATTGCACCCGTGCGAAGCCTTGGTGGGTCGCTAGTTATATATATATAATTCTACTGTACGTGTGTAATTGTGTATGTCACTGAACTCCTCCTAAACGGCTGGACCGATTTCAATGAAATTTTTTGTGTCTTCAGGTTGATTCGAAAATGACTTAGATTCACAATTTATTTCTTTTTTTTTAAGTTATCGAATTTACGTCGTGCGTACAGGACGTCTGCCCGGTCCGCTAGTATTATATAAAAAGGAACTATAGCTAGTCTTGAATAAAATGTAGATATTGCCATTTTCAATCATTAATCAGTCATCATCATATTGTAACTGGAATCGTTATGCATAATGACGTAGTCATAGAAATTTAGTTAATTTTCAACTCGGTCAAATTGCTTTTTTTATGTGATAAGATGGCAAGCGACCTGGCGGTTCACCTGATGGTAAGTGACAACCGCCGCCCATGGACATTTGCAAATCGATAAGGTTGCAAAACCGTTATATTAACTTTTAATGAAGTGGGCCCCGGATACCTCACTCACCACACGAAATTCAGAAGCATAACACTTCTACTTTACGCCGGTCTTCTGTGAGGTCGAGGTACTTCCCCGGACGGACCTGCTCATTCGTGCATCAATGAACTGATGCGTGGCCCTGCCACTGTAGCTAGAACCAGTCCACCCATTTTTGAGTTAAGTTGCAATGTAGTCTCAGTGATCTATATACTAGATTTATAAAATTTATGCGAGAGTTATTTAGTTAACTCAAGTCTTAATTCTCCCTTGAACTAGCGGGTGGTAATTGTCAGCGATCACCACGTTTATGGGTTTGGTTAGTATTTTATTTTAGTATTCGTTGGGTTAGTAGCTACGGCTAGTTTGTTAAAAAGAAACATTTTACGAAATATATTTATATTTTATATATTTAATCATGATGGTCTAGTTGGGATTGGAACAGTTATGCTTGTTGTTTGTAGCGAGGGTGTTAGCAGCCAGTTTATTTTTAAATATGCATATTTTTCTTTGGATAACAAGCGCTTACCGTTCCCGTTGCAATCAAGGATCAGATTATCATCCCGACGCACACATGCATCTCCTACAATAGATGAGATATGCAGTAGGCCGGAATAGATGAACGAGGGGATTCTACTAAACCTTAGTAAATACTCAGCGTAGCTAGAAGATGATAAGATAGATAAGTGTATGACTTTTAATAGCAATATATTTAAAACACACCCATATTATTTATTATTGTCTTGATTTTACGTAGTTGTCAATATTCCTAATCTCTGTTTGTAATTAACTCAATTTTTAATACCAGTCTCTCCTCTCTCGTGACACTTAAAATGTACCCTTTTTCTATATTTTTTTTTAAATTAGTACGTCCAATTTAAAATTCGAACGTGTGCCTCCAACAAACATACCATAACAAAAAAAAATTGATTTTGAATTTTAATTCTCCCGTATAAAACACAACTCAGGTAGGTACTCGAGTGTTCAACGTCACCGAACTCAAAGACGCTTTTCTTTCGTTCGGTTATAATGAACTTAAAGGCAAGTAACAAAGCTGATAGCAGAGAAATAACTTTAGGTAAGTTGTCCTTTGATATAATTTTGCTAGTTTAGTTGATAAAGGCGTCTTTATACGACGCAGCTTTATTGCGCGAGTTATAACCGCGAGCTGTACCAAAATATATGATGGGCCATATGTCATTAGGTTCATAAAGAGGGCCGGCCGGAGGGCCGCAGAAGTAGAGTCAGACCCAAGCTCAGATGGTTGGACGGCGTCGAACAGATCACCAAGGCCTTGGTGATAGGCTGGAGAAAGAAGGCCATGAATAGATCGGACTGGCGAGATTTGCTCGACCAGGTTAAGTTACACCCGCGGCTTTATGCCTCAGATTATGACGAAGGTGAGCTTTATTGCATCTTACCGAAATTCACATATCGGTTTTGACTTTTATGAATATGTTTTATTACTTATCAGACCTGCAGTACACTAAACACGCTGGACATAACATGGTCAGTACTTGATATTGCAGCTTACCTGTTATAGCAAAAAATAGTGTGCTTTTGCTTTATTGGCTGGCTAAAATATATATAAATAATCACCAGACAGAGATGTCTGGTGAATATGTTCTCGAGAATATGCTATGATGTTAAGGAAGATATCTCAGTAACCACTAAAGACTTCTATATCAACTAAATGTAGACACATTCAATAACAAAACAAGACGGAAAACAAAACGGCCGTCGTAAATTCAACGACTATGTGTCAGTAAGGCATCGAAGTATTAAGAAGCTAGAAGGTTAGCACGGAAAATCAGCGCTGTGTTGGGGCCTTGACTTCCGGCATAGCATAATGCTGAGCTGCTAACCTAATTTACCGGAATAGGGCATACAATATTTTTGATTTTATGAAGTTCTTTTTCATTTGTTTTACATTTTAATTATGCATATATGAATTATTTAAAAGTATTTTTTTTAATTTCTTTTAATTTGTTAATTTTAGTTTTTCTTTTCTCTCTTATTGCGTGCGTCCTTTTTTGGTAAATAAATGTATTTTCGTTCTTTGTAACTTATGAATTATTTTGGTTAAAATGGTAACACTATTGTTGTAGTCCAAACGTGGTTGGGCCACGCAACAGCTTCGGCTGTTGCACGGGTGGGGCAGATCCGTCCGGGTGAGTACCACGACCTCACAGAAGGCCGGCGTAAAGTAGACGTGTCATACTTTTGCGTTTCGTCTGGTGAGTGAGTTAGCCGGGCCACTTTATTAAAAGGTTGCAACCCATCTGCAACCCTTCGGGTGTTGCAAATGTCTATGAGCGGCGGTTATCACTTAACATCAGGTGAACCGCCAGCTCGCTTGCCACCATCGCACATAAAATAAAAATAAATTTCTCTTGTCTCAACAACCGCCTTACCTTATATTTTTGTTTGTGTATGTTTTTACGTACAAACTATTCACAAAACCTGGCAATACCAGCAACACTAAAATAACATGTCTCTTACGTATCCATGGTCACATACATCCCTGATACCAAGAATTCTGCATTATAATGTTGATAAAAGATATAACGGGCTAACGAATGATTTCCTATATTAGAAGTTTTTATGTATTCCGTTAAACAATTTCATAGTAATCATTTTTAAATCGAATCTATGAAACCTCCACATCAGCTGAATCATTCAAAAGATATTTTAACGCCAACGTCTAAAACAATTAACTTTACATTACGCCCGTTAATAAAAGGAGCCTAATGTAAAGTAAATTAAGAGCCTATACATATCCCACTGCTGGGCAAAAGCCTCCTCTTTTACAGAGGGTATCACGCGGCCCCACTGCGGATTGGCGAACTTCACATATCTTCGAAATACTTTTTTTGTTATTTCGACCATATGCAGGTTTCCGCACGATGTTTTCCTTAACCGTTGAGCACGTGATGAAGTCAGCACTAAAAATTAAAAATTTCATTGGTACTGCCACCGTGGATCGAGCTGACACTGAACTTTCATGCTTGCTTGCCTAATGCTTGCTTGCTTATCCTGCAATAGTTAGTGGCAGCGATGAAATATAGAATTTCAACCTGCAGGAGCTAAGTTGCTTATAACATAGACTGCGCCAGGACAACGCGCACTCGTCAGCTGGACGGCGAAAAGGAAATTGGCTCCGCCGCGGTGCTTTCTATCAACAGTGACACGTGACATGAGACACAGGACAATACGACACGCTGCAAACGACACGCGACACGCGACGGTGTAACAAAAGACACGTCAATTGGCTAGCTGTGTCATTGAGCGAAGTCATTTCTCATTACGGACCTTTTCTATATTAACCGGCGAGGAAGCTAGCTCAGGAATATCTACCTTTGTTATCATAGTCGGCTTTAAATGCTATGTCGCAACTCCACGAAATGACTTGACGTACATTAACATCAAGGCATAAAAGTCAAAAGAAAATATCATCTTACTGAATACACTGCGTGATTGAAATTGACATTTTTCATCTCATGTGAAAGCAATTCCAAATTATCTGTATATCTGGATACCCTCATCTCACACTGGCTGTAAGTAGCTGATTTCGACCACTTTCCAGCGTTCATGGTCACGGGACAGGCTGAGTCGTTTCACATCTAGATGTTAAACTTAATCCGAGCTACCGTAAATCATTTTCTTCTTTATTTTTATTAGTGGTCGCCCAGTGGTGGAAAAGCAATACATACATAAATAATTAATTATACATGGTAATGTATGTCATTTTTGTTTTATTAATTTAATCCATTTTTAAGCATAATAAAAAAATAATAGCATTATGCACTCCTTTTCTATATAAAAATACGCAAAAATAGCTTGTGGGATGTTGACGTCTAGCAGTGTTGCTGTGCTTGGATTTCATTTCATAAATTATAGTATCCCGCAGATGATAAACACCAACCATCTTCTCTATTGAAATTAGGATGTTTATTTCAATACCCTCGCAGATCATCCTTGTGAGGAATCGTTGTTCTTTTGCGATGATTTTCGGTTTATCAAATCTAATATAGCGTTTGGGGCGATAGTAATATGATCAGAACCTGCAGACTTCTTCAACCATCGGTGCTTCAAGAAATCAATAGTAATTATAAAGAATAACACCCTACTTATTTCTAAAAATTCTGGATTTGCATTCAATTTGATAACAGAAGTAGAGCAGCTGTATGCAGATCATACAAAAACTAATTCACTAGGCAAAGGCGGTTCACCTAATAACCTAGTTCGTGATAACCGCCACCAATGGACATTTGCAACGATGTGCAGATACGTTGCCACCTATCACCAAAGTGGGACCCGGTTACCTTACTCACCAGTCGAAGCACTGCAGTATAACACGTGCACTTCACACCTGTCTTCGGTAAGGTCGTGGTAGATCCCCGAACTGAACAGCCAGTTCCTGCAACAGTTGAAACTTTACTACATCATAGTTGGGACTTACAGATATTTTTCATATCCGGTCGTTTGGCACTGGATCACCAAACCTTTCAACAGGGGTATTGATAAAAAAAAATAGTGAAACCGCTAACTATATAAAAGAGTGATAACCGCCCACGGGAAAAGAACCCCCAGAAATTCCATGTGAACACGCGAAACCGAACTCGGCCGCGCAGTCACGACCGGGCACAAATCACACCGAGCCCGTAATCCGCGCCAGAATTACCCGACAAACAAGGGGCGGGGGGTGCGCGGGGGAGCAGTTCGGCTAAGGGAGGGGGGGGGGGGGGTGAAAAAAGCCGGGCGAAAGACGCCCGGATAACGGCGGCGCTTTCGTCGCACTAACGATTCCGCAGCGAAACGTCCCATAAATCTGGTGCCGCCTGATTGATACATGGCGGTGGTGTGACGCCCATCGCGTAATTTACTGCCGCACCCCGCCCAGCAGACGTAGAGATAGGACTTTTGTTTTGCATTAATTCCTTTCGGCCCTGCCTCGATCCCGGTCAGTCGATAAGCTGGCTGCCTGAGGATTTATACAGTGCCCGCTATCTGATGACTCGGCGCGGGGGAGGGGCTTTTGACTATATCCGTGTACTAAGCGGAACGGTTTAGGTTTGAAGTCGAACCTTCGGAGAGCTGCTGTCAATAGTTTTATTTTTGTGCTTTACGATGAAAGCTGTGACAGCTAAATTTATAAATATAAGGTGTTTTGCATACTGCGTTGTACTTCAGTCTTACTAATTTAAATAAATTTTTTATCTAATCTTGGCCCGACACTGGTCTTAGAAAATTCACTCCTCAAATATGCTAAATTCAGAGCGATGAATGCCCGAGTATTGTTTTAAACCAGTTCTTAGAATAAAACTAAATTTCCACCTTTGTAACCATAAACTAACATTTACATCCTTACTAATATTATATAGGCGGAAGTTTGTATGAATGGATGGATGTTTGTTACTCTCACGCAAATACTACTGAATGCATTCTAATGAAACTTTACAATAATATAGTTTATACATCAGAATAAGGACATAGGCTATAATTTATATACATATTTTATGTATATCTGTCTTTCTGTCTTAATGTTACATCTTCAGCCTATTCTACGCAGACGTAGTCGCGGGTAGCAGCTAGTCTGATATAAATGTACTATCTAACTTCATTTTCATCCTTATTCCAACAATTTTCTTTTCCATCCGAACAATACATCACGTTAGACACGACGCTCGCTATAAATAAGAAGAGAGGCCCTGATCATCGCCCGCTTCAACCGTAGCGCCAATAAACCTTCCCAAACAGAGGTCTTACATTAACGCACCCTCAGCAGCCCGCCAGCATATACATTACGGGGTCACTTAGAAAAACAGAACACTTGGCGCGCGCGCTGAAAACAACTCCTTGAGAAATATACGACACACCCTGTGGAAACGCTACGCGTAGTCAACAAATCCTCCTTTCGCTACGCTACGCGAGCGCAAAATACAACGTCAAGCCAACACACAAACGGCACAAGGCTAGATTAAAGTCTTTCTTAAAAGCTAATCTTAGGACAAAAGCTTTATTACAAACGGCCCCCGGGTATGGGACGAATGTTTGCATTGTTTATTTTAATTTTTTCGCATGGCGGAAGCCGTCTAGAGTCTGCTGGTGGGTGCTAAGGAGCGATAAACAGGGTGTTCAAAAATGTTGTGGCTTACGAATTTCCCTTGTACACTAAATTGAAAGTAATATGTAAGTAAGTCTTTTATATTTGCAGGATGAGTTGAAGTTCCTGATAATAAGATTTATAGGCTACCATTTTTGACCATCTATTAAAATATGTCCTGACCATGTTGTATACTGTTTTTAACTGTTTATTAGTCATTATACTCACTGTCAATTTATGTTAAAATATGCATATTGATGATAGCTCAGTGTCCAGGCACTCGCCTTTACGTCAATTTACTCCAGGAAACTGAGTTTGGTCCCCGATGCCGAAACCAATTAAATTGTTAATTTTAAATGCAGAATTATCACGTGCTTAGCAGTGAAGGAAAACATCGTAGGAAACCTTCATATTTACGAAATAATAACAAAAAAAATATCTCGAAAATGTCCGCCAAACCACAGCGGTCCCGCGTGATGGACAATGCCCTGATACCCTCTGTAGAGGAGGCCTTTGCTCAGCGCAGGCCATGTATAGGCTGTCACTTCACTTTTTACTTAAAAAGGCACCGGTCTCGACGGAAACAGAACACCCTGTGAACGGGCGCGAAACTGAGCGGTGATACGCAGCTCATTTTCAGCTTCGGCGCGAATCGTCAGCGACGCGTGATGGCCGCACAGCCCGCTGCAGACCGCGCCGTTGGCTTACGCTGGATGTGACTGGAGCGAGGTTAATGAGAAAAAACCGCATCTCCTTTGGGATGCTACGTAAAGATATCCATAAACCTCTGTTGAGTATTGTTTATTTCTTTTTTTATTATTTGAACATCCAAACGACCTAGGCTGTCCCTGCCTCACGCCAGAGGTGGTGGGTTCGATCCCCACTGCTGGAAAAATATTGTGTGATGAGTATTTTTTGAGCATAGTATTTTTCCAGCGTCTAGGTGCTTATATATTTATGATATGTATTTATTTACAAAAGAAAAGTATGATTAAGTATGTTTATCAGTTATCTAGTACCCATAGTACAAGCGTGGCTTAGTTTGGGACTAGAAAACGTTGATTATAAACGTCTTGAAAAAATATTTTCCCATAATTTATTAACAATTTTGCATTTGTAGCTTTAATTAAATAAGATAAATTATACGTGATGGATTATAATTAATGAATTTGCCAAATGAGGCTCCTTCTGTTTCATTGTCCCATTAGCCATAGACATTGGCAACACTGTTATTATTTCATACCAAACTTGGCAACAAGAAGTTAAACTAAATGACATGAATAAGCAAAGTACCTAATGAGAAAAGTACGATGGTAGTACCAAAACGACATAAATGATTTTTTGAATTTTATCCCATTACACGATAAAAGAATTCAGTCAAAAAGAGTCCATGATAAAAGGTTGTGCATACCATGAATAATTGCAATAGATAATTAAGATAATCCATAAATTATAATACTCATGTATTAATTGCACATTACTTTTTAATTTTTGTGTTATATACACATACATTTTAAACCTTTACCCATTGGTTGGTTCCTTTTGGTTGTTACTTGGAATCCGGTAAGAAATTAAATATTTCACAGGCATCTACTGTCTAGCTTTAAGTTTATAAGTCCAGGGAACTAGATTCAGCCTTGATAGATTTCTTTATCTACAGGTCAGATTCCCAACGCGGCCATCCAGTCAGGTCCTCACTATCATTTCCGCCGCCCAAGGAGCGTTTACGCGGCGTCGGGGCTGTGTAAAAAATTATGACATCCGCACAGCGGCCACAGTAGTGGCTCATCACGCCGCCTATTTAAGAACAATAGTTCGCCTTGGCGCGCATTGTTCCCGTGCGGTGGCGTCGTGTGTCGCGGGTTTTTGTCCGCCCCGTTTTCGGCGTTAATTACGTGCTTGCTTATGTTCAGCGTGCTGTTTAATTCCCGGGCTCGTGTTGATTAATCTATCACCAGCCGAGCCAGCGGACGGATGGCGCGATGGATATATACAAATGCAGCTAGCGCCAGACGCAGTGCACTTTCCAGTTTCGATTTGGCGAAGTAAAGTGAATTCCCTTAGAAACAGTTTTGTTTTATGTGAAAAAGTTGCAAGCAACAGGCAGGTCATCTGGTGTTAAGTGATAACCGCCGCCTAATTACATTTACAACGGCCGTAAGATTGCAGATGCACCTTTTAATAAAGTAACCACTAGTCAAAACGTAGAAGTTTAACACTTCCACTTCACGCCGGTCTTCTGTGAGGTCGTGGTACGGACCTGCCCATTCGTGAAACGGCGAATACTTTTGCGTGGTCCTACCCCCTACAATTGTTTGCCGAATTTGTCATGAATTATTCGACATTAACTTCTCTACAAATTAAAAACGGCTCTCGATCGACACCAATATTATAGAGTTCTGTTGAGTTTCTTGCCGGTTTCTTCTCAACAGAAACTGCTTTCCGAACCGGTGGTAACTTACGAACGTCTTAATTTCTTTGTAAAATTTTGACGTTTCATAAGAACGCGCAAGCGACTATGTGAATAAAGATATTTTATTATTATTATTATTATACGGTGGTCGAGTAAACTTGTTCGAAATAGAAACATTTCCATAGATTTTCCATACACATTGTTCCTAGTGCCATTGTTGTCGATAGAGATGTTTCATTTTCGCCATTTTATATGTACGCAACACTACGGTTCTACTCCAGAACAATCCCTCAGTCACATTGTAAAATCACTGTATAGCAAAACAATTACCGCATAAAACCCAAGTCGGGGCCCGTGCGAAGCTCCTTTGGCGGGCTCATTCGTCTCACGGGAGACTCAAAGGCGACTATCAGAACGGAAACATCTCACGTACTTGCACATAGATGTCTCCGATGCACACATCTGGCCGACTGGAGCTGCTAATATTTCAAGCGCGACCACCTCTCTCTCGCCTTTTGCGTCGAGACCAACTTACCACGTCGTCCCGCAAACTCTCCTAGATACTCTATCTCTATGGCTTAAGAGCGAATGTTGCAGGGACCGTTAGTCCTCGCGTGCACCAGTAACTTGGCAGGTCAATGTAAAGATACGTTACGAAGCGTGCTGTGGTTTGTAGACCGTTGAAATATGCAGAGGCGGTATCGGGGACGACCTTTACAAAGGAGAGCCAGTGTAAGACAGTCGGTATGACCGCCGCCGGTGCTTGCAGGTGCCCGTTTACCAATTGCTCCACTGTAACGGACGTTACGTTATTACTTTCAAATAAATTTTCATTAAAATTCAATATTTACTTTTGTACATTACGTTTACGATCATAATCAATGAAGGTCATTTATATTGTATAATCTATATTTATGTATATAATCTATTACAATCAACAGGACATTCATTGAATTTTTTCTCATATGACTTTTCTTTTTATTTTTTATGTGAAAAGTTGTTAAGCGAGCAGGCGGTTCACCTGATATTAAGTGAAGCCCGCGCCCATGGACATCTGCTACACCCGAGGGTTTGCAGAGGAGTTGACAACCTTTTTTAGCTAAAATTATTATTAGAACTATTCTATACTATCTATTATTATATATTAGCTGCTAAAACTCTGCCACCAAAGTAATTCAAACTTAATAAACTAAAAAAGAGCAAATGATAACTTCCATTACAGTAAAGTTTTATTATTGTTATTGAAATATCCACACGTGCTCTCATCACATCAACAAATCGTTTCAAAATAAAAATGTCATTCCAGTCCTTTACGTATGTCCCGTTAAGCAATCGAACGAAGCAACACGCATGATGTCGTCACCGTCAAATGTGGCAATGGACACGCGTCCGCTTCCAAACACTCTTCCGACGCTCCTTATGAGAGCGTCGCGAGTCCGCACAAAGTGACCGCTATTAAACTTGCATCGCTGCCTAAGTATGAGGTGTTAAGTCATCGTGCAACTAACGATGCAATCGCGCAACGTGCTGCCAAATCAGTCACGCTAATTTGGATGCTAGTGCTAATGGATAAAGGCGAATGTTCGTTGAGAGCTGCCCGGGTTAGCTGGCGACTTGCGTTGCGGGTGGTCGCTTTGAACGCCGCTGGAACGGCAGTGCAACCGAAATATGCGGGGCAGCTATTTACTTTGAGGACATAAGATTACATATTTACAACTCTTGATTTGCGCTTGACGACACGCTGGTAATTTACTTAGTCGACCAATTAAACATTGGACTCAATGGAACTCAAATAAATGAATTAAGCAATTGCCTCAGGGTAGTTTAATGGGAATAAAATAAAACTTAATCCTAACTTTATAGAAATCTCCGTAACTGTCACTCCTCAAAGAATCAATAAGGCTCGAGTAGTCAGCGCGTCACTACCTCAGCTGTCATATCTAACTATTCTTCTTATGTAATATTTTGTTTAAAATTATTTAAAATCAGGCTTCAAGCAGGAAGCGGTCATTTTTAATTGCTCGGATATCTATTATTTGGACGAAAGCAAAATGAAAAGTTTCACTTCGTTCACACATAAATACGCAGTTATACGACACAGTAGACTAGTATGTGTATGTATCCTACATATAAAGATAATGGTATCGTTTCATTTAACCATGTTCATCATACGCGTAATAACAAAAAATCAACAAAGACACTTATTTAAAAATGAATTGCGTCGAGCTTTGTTTTTTTGTTTGTTTGTGTTTTTGATTCTCTACACATCTGTACGTATCTCTTCTCTATAAGGAACAAAGAAATAAACACCTCTCATTTTTAATATGGACAAAATTAAGAAGCAAATTGTAAACATTGACATAACCTCAAATTATTGTACACGTAAACTTTGCAGAAAGTTTAACTTTACTTTAACTTACCTTAAAAGAGCTTAGCTTAGAGACACTTTCCTTTGAGGGAGTCTGGGAGCTCGCTTCTAATTCAATCTACCCGAGCAACAAATCCCGGTGCCAGCATCAATGAAATTGTTATTTGCAATTATAAGTGTTGATTTGACACGTCAACAGTGTAAGGAAACATTGCTAGAAAACCTGTATGTTTTCCAAATAATAACAAAAAAAAATTCGAAGATTATTGAAGTCTCCGATCCGCAGTGGTCGGTAAACTATGCCCAAATACTCTGAATAGAGAAGCGCTTTGCCCAGCAATGGGACATACACATATAGACTGTTATTTTACTACTTTAAAGCATGGTGTTATTTGTAATAACAGATAAAACGATTTTAAGAATTGCTCCTTTGGCTGTAAGCGATTTATCTAACGTTGCGAATAAAAAATGACTTTTTTAATGTGAAAAGTTGCCAAACGAGCAGACGGTTCACCTGATGGTAAGTGAATACCGCCTCCCATGGACATCTGCTACACCCGAGGGTTACAGATGCGTTGACAACCTTTTGAAAATTGGGCTCCGGCTACCTCACTCACCAGACGAATCGCGAAAGTATTTGTCATACTTCCACTTTACGCTGGTCTTCTGTGAGGTCGTGGTACTTACCCGGACGGGCCTGCCCATTCGTGCAACAGCGTAGGCCGCTGCGTGGCCCAACCACCATGATTATACTCTTAAAATCATAGCTAGTGAGATCAAAAATGGACTTTAAATCTCGCATCTGGCTGTTTGGTTACATACCACATGTGTAGAGATACATAATGTTGTGTAGACATACAATAATCTTCATACTAACGGTACTCATACTCCAGTCCCCTGTCGGAATATATCCGAGCCGAGACTAGCATCGACCGCAGATCTGCGTGTTGTATTATTGATTCACTTCTGCAACGCTTGACTACTACATTACCCTACGAAGGTAATTTTCTGATAAAGAAAAAAGTGTATAAACTGATATTAACATAAAATAGGCTTTCTTAAGACCAGTTGCCTGCCTGACGTCAACCCTCCTTGGGAATTCTAGAGAATTTATATTTATCTAAACTAAAACATTTTATAACTAATAGGTATACTAATACAGATACTAAACTTGATACGCACACACTTAAATCATTTCAAATAGGGAACTGTTGTTGTCATGGTCGTATTCTCCATAAAAGCAGTTCAAAACAAAAATTCAACAAGAAGGCGCTCCAAGATCGTAACTTGGCCTTCTTTCAGAATTTTGGTGATTCGAAGATTCCACAACGAAATAAGTGATTATATGTTAATCTGAAGCGACCACTACATTATTTCAGTTGAAAATAGACTATGTATTTTGTATATCATACATATGCCTTATAATGATGACTTAGATATCTAATTGTCAAATAAGATGCGTAATCAGTGGCGCAGTTGCTAAGCTATTCTGTTTTCGCACCGGGGGTCGTGCGGGTTTGATTTCCACACGAGGCAAGTATTTGCGTGACCCACAGACAATTGATCCGGATTGAACGGTTGAAGTCAGGTAGGCAGCCGGTGTTAAAATAACTAGATAATACCACTAAAATATGATTCATGTTGTATCGGACAAAGTCGCCCATAAGTCTCGCTACGCTATTCGTTAAACTAACATAAAATCAATGTGCAGCCAAATTGTTCCATTTGAATTTTTTTTTAAATTTAGTCTATATCCTAAGGATATAGACTAAATTTAAAAAAACCACAGTAACCAACTATGTATATGGATGTATATCTTAAAATTTCGTATTATATTATCTGCGGAATTTTATTTATTTAAACCCTTTAAATGTGTGACAGTCGCTGCACGTATTTGAGGAGTTGAGGGTAGAAACTAAATTGCACGTTGGTGAAAATAGTACAAGTCATTAGTATATAAAACAGTGAAAATATATACATTAAGATGAATGTGAAGATATGGGGGGTTAATTGATTGTCTTATCCGAAACTTCAATATTAAAGTTGGGCAGTCTCCAAAAAGAAAATCACCCTTTCTCAGTATTAAAATAAATCCAAAAAAAATTGAAGTATTCTTGATACGAGAGCCATTTTAATGAACTTTAAACAATAAGAGACTGCTTCTCTACTGACAACCCTATTAATACAGAATCATATTTTTGTCAACCCTAAGTCTAAAGGGCCGTAGAGATTTATTTATTTTAATAAAGCCGACCCAGATAAACCAACACTCGTTGCAGAGATATCGCCCGAGCATGTTAACGTTTACTCCTTCAGTTAAAACAACGCGTCACACGCTACGCCAGTCCGCTATGATTGCGACGTAGATAAAAGTCGAGTGGACCCCACCCCCAGCCCCTGGCACCCCCGGGCCGATCGATGACGTTTGACCCCTTTACCTGCCCCCTGCTGTCCGTCTTAGCAGTTGCATCGGCCTTAAGTGCAGGACATACCGACGGGATGATTATTTTTCCAACATGTTCCGATCTTTTGTCTCCGTCTAACATTCACACTCGGAATTTGAAATCGAGGGTAACCATCAGATTTGGAACTGAAAAAGCACGGCGAAAAACAGATTATCTATCCATGTCTGTAGTAGACATTAGTTAGAGTTCAAAGAGGTGAGCATTAACGATTTTGCAACTGTACTCCGTCAAATAACAAACAAATAAATCAATAACTTATTAAATTATTAGTGTGGTAGAGTGATAATTGGTTACCTAACACTGCAGCTGTAGTTAGTTATGCTTTACAGGTACCAAGACCTCACAGGAGATCGGTGTCAAGCAGATTTATACCTTTGCTTTTTACTGGAGGGCCACATTCTCAGTAGACGACACGCCTGTACCATCTTTGGTGTTGTTTGTACATGGACGGTGACACTATCGCACCATTATTCGAACCGTTTGCTCATTTCACATCATTTTTAATTCAAAAATATAATAAAAACGGTTTCTTTGATCTCCACCACCAGTATATTATATAGTCTTTGTTTAAATCTGTTTGTGGTGAAGTTATATTAGGGACCTAGAATTCAATTGATCCTTTTTTTGAATTTGCCGAAGGACAATTGATGTATGAACTAAAAAACTAAAATGTTGTGATAAACATTAAGTTACAATCCCAGCCTATAGGATTTTTAATCTTTAATATAAGAAAACATTAGAATTATCCATACACGAACAACATATACGCTTCACAATTCAGTCAGCACTCCCCCTTAAATGCTACAGCTGTCTGCAATCTGCCATCTTATAACTCGACTTGTGAAAAGAGAGCTCTAGCACACGTCAAGAAGGAGAAACTTTATTCTGTTCCTGTTCAAGTAAGTCACGCCGCTACCAATGTTATTATTCCATGATTGACGTGACAATGGGTCGATAATATCGATTCCACAATATCAAGATTTGATTATAAAATTAAGGCAATTAAAAATCAATCGTCGACCCAATCGGCGTAGTGGATAGTGACCCTGTCTCTTGCGCCATAGGGTGTGGGTTCGATCCGCACAACTGGAAAAATTTTGTGCGATGAACAAGTTTTTCTAGCGTCTGGGTGTTTATATATCTGTAATATGTATTTATTTAAAAAAGAAAAATGCGTGTAAGTATGTTTATGGGTTACCTTGTACTCGCAGTACAAGCGTTGTGTAAAAATATGTCCCGTATGTCTCGTAATTATTTAAAAACACTTTTTTTTTCGTAACATTGACGTATTTATGAGTACGAGGTTTTGAGGAGTATTTATTTATGAGGTTTATGAGTTACGTATGAATAAATAATTTAAAAGGCTCTTTTAAGAAATTAAGGACCCTCCTTTAAATGACGACAACGTTTCGATAACGTAAAAAAAACGTCACTATTATTGCCTAATGTTTTCTATATGACATCTCCGCGCTTAATAACAGCGTCTCACATGTAGGACGCACAGAAAGGTTTATTACACTAATTACAATGACTTCTACATCAAAAAAAGTCAAAAATCATTGACAATGTTCGCTTAAATCGTGCAAATGATGAACAATTCTTAAAAAGAATGAATCGGATGAGAGGGCGGACGCCCTCAAATAATTCCTCAATAAACACACGAGTTAGGCCCAAGGATATTCACGGATATAAAGGATATTTCGCTTTTAGTATCAGCGATTTTTTTAAATCGCAGCTTCCACGGGCCGCATCAAACTAATCTCGGGCTACCTCGCCCCAATATTCACGCGTGCTTATATTATGCTAACACGGTCCGTACGCGTCCACGTGCGATCTAATGGACGAAAGCTTTCAATAAAATAGACCGGCGCCCATCGGCTCGTTCTTCCGTGAAACTTGAAACTGATTTTCATATTGCCAGCCATCGGGGCAAAACAAATCCACAACTCACCCCGTAATAGTTACATACAATGTACTGCATTAATGTGACTGACGGAGACGTCCAATCCTGCTGGATGTGGCCTTGTATATTTCACTAGTATATCCGTTATAATCATCATTGTCATCATTTCATCCTGTTTGAGTCCGCTGCTGAACATAGGCGACAAACATAGACTGCCACGAAGCAAGATCCTGAGCCACCTGCATCCATTGAAATACATCCGTAAATATGTTTGATAAGATCATTTAGACCTAAACCAAAAAGTTATCTGGCAAGATACCATAGAGCTATTCTGAATGTCGGCAACTACAGAGCTGAAAGCTTAAAAGCTCCTCTAACTTAAATTAAAAATGTTAAGGAACAGCGTTTATATGTCCCACTGCTGGGCTCAGTGCTGATTTATATTTAATTTTACTGAGTCACGGATAATCTCATAAATATATTTATACATATTTTTCAGGTCACATTTTTATAGAACATTTTCTAGTCCCAAACTAAACAACGATTGTACAATGGGTACTAGATAACTGTACTAGAAAACATACATAAACATACTTTTCTTTTGTAAATAAATAAGTAAACATCCAGACACTGGAAAAATACTATGATAATATTTTTTTCCAGTAGTGGAATCGAACCCACAGTCTCTGGCGCAAGGGGCAGGGTCACTACCCATTCGGAAAACCGGGTCGTTGAATGAAGCCGTGAAATCTATTGTCCATAATTAAAAAATGATTCGCCGCATCCAGTTTATCTCTAGGTCCGCGTGCGACTATTTACGATTGCTGCTTACCGAACTGCGACCGAATCTCGTAAAATTCTATCGCATCGATTGTGCGGACCTGATGCGCCAAGCCCAGACCGTCGACTGCTTTATTATAAGCGCCCGAAGGGTTAAATAAATAACTATAAAAGCTCAATAGCCCTGAAGTATTACGGGCTTTTCGTTTGTGACACTTCTAGAAGTGTATGGAAACTGCCGCATTACCAACATTAATAGCTGAATCTGACCGTCACTGTAATTTAAGTCGGACTAAATACGGGGTGGACATAACAGTCGATAAAGAATATTGCTGTGACAACAGTTAAAAACAGACTTAAGGGTAGCTATATACGGTTAGTTCACTGTTAGAGAATGACAGTTGGTGTTAAGTCTGCCCTTTGTAACTCCCTAAATAAGTTGTTGCAATAAAGGACAAATAAATAAATATATTGAGCCGTGATAGCTCAGTGTCCGGGCGCTCGCTTTTAATTCAATATACTCGAGCAACCTGAGTTCGATCCCCGGTGCCGGCACCAATGAAGTTTTTAACTTTAAGTGCTGACTTATCACGTGCTCCGCGGTGAAGGAAAACATCGTGAGGAAACCTGCATGTTTTCGAAATAATAACAAAAAAAATATATATATATTTCGAAAATATGTGAAGTCCGCCAATCCGCAGTGGGGCCGCGTGGAGGACTATGCCCATATCTGTCGTCGTACTACATTCGTACTAAAATAAAGTGATATTTCTATTGTTGAAATACCACCACATTTTAAACTTTTTAAAGCATAAAATAACACTGTAAACACTGAGAAATCTCATAATAATTAAGATAAAATAACATGTATCCAAAAAAATGCATCATCGATACAGATATGTCATCACAAGGAGTACATAACAAACACATCAATATTTCCTCTCATGTCAAGCGGCATGAATATGGAGCGACCCATTTAGTAAACGAAGCACAGTTTCTTTTTCAAAATGGCGGATCTTGCATACTATTGCATTATATTTTCTTTAGAGCCAGGCCAGCGCTGCATGCGTCCAGTTGCCATAAACTGCCGCGCGCCCGTATCTCGCCGCGTGTGCCGCTCGAAATACGAACTCCAGTATTGCCAGGGCTCTTGCCAAATCGAAAACTGAGCTGGACTGGCTGTCGCATAGATTGGCTGGATCTACTATATGAAGGTCATTTGCGAGCGCAAGGAGCCGGCCTCCATATGACTGTTTCCATTCGGTGCGACATTTTTCTATTTGGCCCCGTCCGAACGGCCCAGAATGCCGTTCTTTACGGCACACTACATAATAGTCGGCCGCCGCAAGGCTTTCTCGAATAAAACATAGTTTTTAAGCTTAGCCCAGCTTTATTTAATGCAATAGAGAGTTTGAATATTTGTAGATCATCGTGCTCTTCCTCTAATAGGTTAGTTACAAACGACTTACGAACTTATTTATTAATTTTTATGTAAAACGACGTTTCATTAGAACCAAGCGTCTATTTGAATGAAGGTATTTAGAATTTTGAATTGTTTTGAATTTTGAATAACGAAGGTAGTGATGGCCTAGTGACTGGAGTGTCGAGTTAGCGATCTTTAGTCGCGACTTCAAATAGCAATAGCTTCCAACAATGAGTATATAGGGAATGGTTACACATTAAAATTTTTGTTCCACATTTGCTCCGTGTGGGGTGACAAGCTGATAACCTGTCACTTTCTGGAACAGATAAGTGTGGACTTTGCATAATCTAAACGAACTTTGTGTTCACTTTGTTTAAAGAACATGAGATCTTATTCTTTATAAATATATGCAGAATACCTAGTGAGAAGTAGTTACCTTATTTACAAACACCTCAAAAAGGGTTACAAGGGGCGAACTTAATACCTATTGGCATTCTCTACCAGTCAACCCGGGGCGTGAGGAGAAATCGTGGTAGGTACAATAAATAAAATTGCAATATGAATTTATGTGACCTAAACAAATAATACATATATATTGCTATTTGCTATTGCTGTTTGTAAAAATATACAAGTGTTCATTTTCCATGTAAATGGAATGACGTATGTAAACAATTTACTGGATCAACGAATGAGAATTGATAACATCATTATTACAATACAATCTTTAGTGCTTAATTTTCAACGACACCAAAGAATTGGTGTCGTTAAAAAATAAAGTGCTGCAAATAAAATGTCTTTACTGCTTTTATCACTTTTAAATACTTTACAAATTTAATGTTTACGTTTCGAATACTTATAAAAACCGTAGTCATATTACGCCTAAATTTTATAGTTGACTAGGTCTAGCGATAACCTTTTGATTATTTATTAGGTACGTTAAATAAATAGTATATAATAGTATTATGTATGCAATCTGCAGTATTCGAATAAACGAAATAAGTTGATATAAATATTAAGCGAGCAGAGAAACAGTTTAAAAGAGCTTTAACGGGTGCGTCTGGGAGCATAGCTGTGAGCGTTCCTCCTTCAAGCACCTTTGACAGGCATTGACATCACCCCAACCCCCTGCACGGGGCCGGGGGGGGGGGGTCCCCCGCCACGTCCACGGCGGTCAGTCTCAGGCAGTATGGCACTTCGAGCGGAAAAATGTGTTTCTGCCCTTCAAAGGTAGCCTGAGCAATATAAGTTCCCTTTATTGCCGCGGTTTGTTCAAATACTTGCGTAGTTTTCCTGAATCGTTTCTTAGACGTTGCTGGTTCAACGTCCTGCGATCATGAACACCGCAAAGTCTTTCTAAGTTCGCAATAATACAAGAGTTCATAATCTTTTGCTCCATTTATGGCCACATCAGTAAGTTATTTTGAAATGGTTGAAAAAACTATATGAGATTAAACTTAATGGTGTAAGTTAATAATGAAAATATAACTTAATAAAGAGAGCAGCAGTATTTGAAGCTATTGTGAGTGGTAATCGGTTAATAATTATGTTGCAAACTAATTACATAATATGTTAGTTATTTTGTAGTATAAGACACCAACTTTGTTTTACTTAAAAATACTTTTCAGTTGTTAGCTACTATTTTGTAATGGTAAAAAAATTTTAAGGTACAAAATGAGATTTCGAAAGTAATACAAATACACAGTACAAATCTCTAACTCAAGCATATGTTTAGAGTTCGTATAACGAACGGTGAATGCTCAGACATAATGATATCAAAGGAAAATGTTATTGCCTGCTTTTAAATAAATCTTTATTATGATATAAGAGTATGTGATAGCTCAGTGGTCAGTCGCTCGTTTTTAATTCAATATTCTCGAGCATCCGTTCATTTCCCGGTGCCAGCACCAATGAATTTGTCAATTTTAGGTGCTTACTTATGATGTGTTCAGTGAAGGAAATCACTGTGAGGATACCTACATATTTTCGAAGTAATAAGAAAAAAAAATTCGAAAATATGAAGTCTGCCAATCCTCGGTGGAGTCACGTGGTGGACTATGCCGTACTAGTAGTATATAGTCTTATACCGTTTGTATAGAGCAAGCCTTTGCCCAGCAGTGGGATACACTTATATAGGCTGTTACTTAGCTTTTTCATTTTAATTTAATATGATATGAATAATTCATAATTAAAATCTATCGACTGCAATACATTATAAAAGGCAATATAAAGTAAATTTTAGCGTTCTTTCCAAACCAAATTAACCGTTGCTGAAGTTCCCATAATTAAATGTTGTGCCTAGTACTTACTTGTCTAGCCAAAGTTTAGAATTGATATAATAAAATTTAAAATTTTCAGAATCTCGATATCACTTAATCAAAGTTGTTTATGTGGATGTAATGTAAGCATACATGTATGAGTGTGGAAGAATCAAGAAGGCGTTTCCAGGTCGAAGAAAGTTGAAATCTCTAATACCTGCTTACCCGTACAAGTGATAAGCGTGATGGTAACGAATTCATACGAAATAATTTCATTCATACCAAATCATTAGTTTCGTCTCATTAAATGTAACGTGATACATGTAAGTGTCGTCTTCATTAAAATCTGAGTCGAAACAGAGAAACGGCAAGCGCGAATAATCGCCCATTAAAACAAAGCGGGGGGTAGGGTCAGCAGGTAAACAATGCAAAGCATTAAGAGGGTAGATTAGCAGAAAAAGCGCGGTGAAATACGGCGGTGCCTGTAAATTTTCTTACCGCTCCCCCACTGATGCCCGGGCCATCGACAGTGTTCTGACGTCGGTACCGTCGACACAAAAATAACATATAATAAATTTTCAAGAAAATTGCTGTTAATTTTTCTCAATAATTAATAATTTATTTACAAAAAAAGATTTACAACATTCGATTTACGTAAAATTACATATCACATATATTGTGACCTTACATTTTGTTTTCATCTCCTGACAAATCGTACTTATTTTTTTTTATTTATTATTTTTTAGAATTTTTTAGGATTTTTCTGCAAAATATTTTTTCAGTAGCAAACCATTGCAAATGGCAGTGCTAGTTTTTATTTTTTAGGGCAAGTGCTTATAGCGCGCATAATGCCAACGAAAAACTAATTTAAGCTTAAAACTTATTGCAGAAAATACTTAATATATATTACACCAGAGATGGTGCGCGCGTGCGCGTGTGTGTGTGTGTGTGTGAAGAATGAACACTATTCGATAGTTAACACGAAGCTCACAACATTATTTAGCACTAACAAGACAAAAGCTCGCATAAAGCTTCTCAAAAATCAAGCCCGAATAATATCTTATGAAAGAGCGATAAAACTTTTCCTCGCACCGTACTCTTCATCTCTCGATTCGTCCCACCGAAAATGTTCGTTCGAGCCGTTTCTAAAGCGCCTTTTTTAATCTCTATAAATCAAATTTATGACTTGTGTAAGCTTTCTGTTTTATTTACCCTTTTATAATTCTGTTGCTCGCGCACACATGCGCGATCCGCGACGGATGGGGCTGGAGTCACAGTAAAAGCGATAATATGTCCGCGGCAGGTCTTGAAATTGTCAGGGTTCCGTACCCAAAGGGTTAAACCGGACCCTATTACCTAGACTTCGCTGTCTGTGTGTCTGTCAGGCTGTATGTCATGAACCGTGATAGCTAGACAGTTGAAATTTTCACAGATGATGTATTTATGTTGCCGCTATAACGACAAATACTAAAAATAGATAATGGTACCGAACCCTTCGTGCGCAAGTCCGACTCGCACTTGGCCGATCTTTTTTAGTTTTCGGTTAGCTTAAATGCTTACTGTCTTGCTTGAACCAAAATGTGGCATAAAAATGCTTTATTTTGCTTACTTTAAGACGACATTACTTTGTTAGAAGAAATAAAAACTTGAACAAATATTGTCTGGTAGACGTAGATCTCAAACTCGTTAAATTTCAAAGTGTAATAATTGCAAAGCGTAGTTAAAGAACGAGCAATTGCAGAGCCATTCGACAACTCGGTACTACAACTTTTAGTTTTGTTATCACATTTTTCTCGAAGTATCTCAAGATATTCACCGTCGAGTCTGAGAGGACGCCGTGGGGTTTACAGGCGATGAGAGCGCATTCCAATTCTTTTTTTCGATCAGACTTTTCGTGCACGGCTTGCGCCGATCGCCCGTGACTTGCGCCCCCATAAATAAGGCCACCGCCCCTACCGGGGGTTTTTGTCGTTTCGTTTCGCATGTTCCGTCTGCGATCGCTTTGGGCGTGAGGTAATTAATTTCGCCATTGTTCGTCGACGTGTGCCACGGAAGGTATTACGTTGTCTTTGTAACTCGATGATGTATTCGAAACGCCCCCGCCGATGTCTTGTGCCGCGACCGTCGTTGCGTTCGCAACACGAACTATCGGTGATCACCGATTTAGTTGACGGACTGTGTACAGATCACAAGTTAATTCGTGGTGGAGTACGCCCTAATAATCTCTGTACAAAGAAGGCCTTTGCCCGGCAATGGACAAGGCCCCCTAGACATATACAGGCTGATACTTTACTTTTTTTTTAATCCGATTGAACTCCAATTGAAACAAGATTTGTTTTAATGTCTGTTTGAAGACAACGAGTAATATGTCAGCTACCGAACTTCTAGTGAAATCACTACTATAATATGATTGAATGAAATTATCGCTATATTATACATTCGTTCAAATTAGACTATACTTTATTAAAATGAACGTAAACATTTTAAAGTAAATTGTAAAACGTATAAATCAAATAGCAATTAAGAAGCCAGTTAGTTGCTATACAACGGTCAATTTCTTAAGTGACCGTCATAATGGTATGGTAAAGGTGTGTAGTAAAATAATAAAATTATGATGGTTTATACAGTGGGATATTTAACAGAAGATTTCTCTACTCGGAGTGAGTAAACTAGTACGACATTGAGAGTCTGTATATGTAGATATTGTAGTGATAATAAAGTGTTTATATAAATGTTTATACAACGATTTATTTTTATAAGTAATCAAATCATTTCATCAACTGTTCTCTATTTTAAACAGTCTACACAGATACGTTACATGTGAGCGATCTTTTCTTTCAATATGCAATCGAATGAAAACAATTCAACCAGATTCATAACCCGCGAACGTTTAACAAACATAAAACTTAATGATTCCTTGCATCGTTTACCTAAAGAAATTTATTGCATTATAAATCGAACACGCAATTCATTCCGCGGCTGGTGTTCCGAAAGAATGCGACCGCTAAACATCGGGTGCAAAATGCAGCATCGTTAGCACATCGGTCAGAACTAGACGTCCACGCAGGCCAGAATATAAAACGTCGCGTCAACATCGCAATAATAAATCCGGGGTGCCCCCACCGCCCCGCCCCCCGGGGGGCGACCATGAAGACTGTCAGAGCGATGATAGACGGCCCGGCATAAACCTGACGAGCGTCGACTACCCCGTCTCGGAATGGCTCTACGGAGCCCAGTATATCACTTTTATTACATGCCATCTTCATTTTCATATTTCATATTTGCATTTTCGCCCCAACCCACCCCCGGCCCCCGCTTTTAAGCGTTTCCCGCGTTTTTCTACGTAATCGCCCCGGCTAAAAACGGCCCTCAGCGTTCTGTTGAACCCGTTCTACGCACAGAAACGTTATACAAACGCAGGCAAACAGATTAGTCCTTGAAATTGATTTGCTCTCAAAGCAATATAAATATTTAATCGATAGAATTTTTAACATTGTATTATCTTTAAATGCTTGGCTCATTAACATAAACTGTCCTACATTAGAAAAAATATTGTTTTCGTAGTAGTTATTACAAAAACATTATTTTTTATAGTTATAGTAACACCTATCTGAATTAATATTATGTAAACCTATTGCATATCTGGACCACAGTTAGGCAAAAGGCTACTCTGTTCTTGTATATTGTTTTCAGGATACTTCCCAGTATCCTTTATAACATACCTATGATTTTATGTGCTGATATATGAAATAATAAAAACCTACATTGTAAATAAACAATTTGATATTCTCCAACACAACTCCAACACCTAGATTCAAACTACAAATAAATCCGTGTATACTAAATTAAAAACCGATTTTACTTTACTTTTATTTACATTTTCATCGAAATGAAACTCTCACTTTGAAAATACAGTTTCCATTGAATACTGCAAATTTTTAAGTATACGGATATTTTCGTGTTATCTTTCGCGGGACAAAAGAACATTGGAAACATCGAAAATCAAGACTATAATTTACGCGATAAAATCCATAATTTAGTTTTATTTAATTAAGTAGCATTTTATTTTGCAATTAGAATTTTATTGATCCTTAATTTCATATAAATTAGACAAAGAATATTAAATCCCGTTGATAATTTAAGTTTCATGATAAGCCGCATATACTCCAGTTACGAATTTCGTAACCATCGTTATACGGACTCGGTTGACTGAAGTCCTCTAACGTAGCTTTTTAATACCTCAGCCGGTAGAAACTTTTTAAAGTAACGTCAGCAGAATAAACGCACTGATAAATCTTAGTCAAAATGATTGATTAATAAGTTAAATTATAAGGTAATGCTTCTGCTAGGCTTATCGCAGACAAAAGTTTTCGTTTATCCTTCTTTCTTTTTCTTTTTACCCCACCAAAGTGTGGTGGTACAACATGTGAACCATATTTTTAATATTAGCTAGGTATTTTAAGGCCACCCGTTTGCCAGACGTCAACCCTCCTTAGGTACAAACACTCAGATGTGCCACCCAGTTAGCCCCGACACGGTCATTGAAGTTATCAGCTAACAGTATATAAAAAAGTTTTACTACAAAATTTTTTTATACAAAATAAAGTGACTAATGATATGACAGTTCATGTTATGATAAGTAACATCGCCGTACATGAACGTCTATAAACCATGTAACCTCACGGCTACCTAGCTCAAGAGACGTAACGCAAAAATGTTACGTATCACCTGTCTTCTATTCTACCATGGTTCTCTTTTAACGAGCCTGCCTTAAAGTGGTAAGGCACTACCACAAGCGATATGTGTTTTGTCTCGAAAATATTAGATTCACAATTACGCAGCAAACTCGCAGGGGGAATCGAAACAATATATTTTCGGTGTATTTGTCTATTATTGATTTCTTTTTAGTGAATATTGTTTCCTTGTTTCTGCTGTCGGTACTTCTCTGGGCGGTGCAATGTTTACGGGCGGCCGGCAGCAGAGCGGTCGCGTACATCAGAGACAATGTGGGTTGCAATCGGGTGCATCGGACCTTAGATATACTCCGCTAAGCCTCAAGTTACTGCACCCAGTCCCGATAGCGTCCGATAGTTAAGCAGGCCATTAACTGAAAAAGCGTTTTGGGTCAACTGAAGAAGAAGTTACATAGGTCACGCAACAGTCATCTCTGTTACACGAATGGATCCGTCCGATTAAGTACCACGACCCCATGGAAGACCAGCGTGAAGTGGAAGTGTGGTACTTCTGCGTTTCGTCTAGTGAGCGCGGTAGCCGGGGCCAAATTCATTAAAAGGTGACAATATATCTGCAATCCTATGGGTGTTACAAGTGTCAATGGACGGCGGTTATTACGTCACATCAGGTGAACCGTCAAATAGCTTGCCACCTTCGCTCTCAAAAAAAATTATCTCAACAGTCATAATGAATAATTTATATTTTTTTTCCAGTTCTTGATGTCATTGGAATTAACCGTAGAAATAATCATCAGATTTATTATTTAAGGACTTTTGACGCTCTTTAACGTGCGTGAGATATATTTAAACAAAAGAAATAAGTCCAACAAAAGCGGATGGATATAAAGCAAAATTAGATTGTCAGTTATATACGTAGAGCAATGTTCCTTAGAATAATAATTAATATTCTATAGTTTTAGTTTTTATTTCTTTTCTTAAATTTTATAGTTTACATCATATTTACAACATAAGTTGACAATACGATAATCTACTTTTTCTATAAATGAAACATTCATTGGTTGATTTCGAAATTAAGTAAACGTTAAGATCTTCTCACCCTAGCATTCAAAATCTTCGAAATCGCAAGAACAATCCACTTAAGCCGAGGTAAGCAGCGTGTGTCGCTGTAACTTACTCTTTGTTGCATATCCTCGGTGGACCTAAGCGATGTTTAGTGGCGGTGAACTGGCCGGTTTCAGGACTGGGACAATGCTTGTATTTACATTCGCGCAATATCAGGCGGCGGGATCGGGGAGCCGGCTCAGTCTCTTTAACACACCTCTATAAATAGTGGACTAAATACCTGCTGGTCTCTTAAGGGGAAGCCTCTAGACGTCACGTAATGAGCTCTGTTTTCGGAAGAGTTCAACAGTCGGTAATCGTGTAGATATAGCGGGCTTTCTACCGATTACTGGATGTTATAATGACTTTTACTTCCTCGCTTCAATTTATTTGTACAACAACAAAAGCTTTTGGCACGTTAAATTCTTAAATCGGTAATCACTTTTGTACCTGCATCTCATTAGTTAAGCAAAACATATAAATTATGAATTAGTTCTCAAAACGAGCGTCTATTGCTAAGAGCAGAGATTCAAATTCGAACGACGGCGTATGAATTCGTCATACTGTTTCAAAAATCTTTCTTATATTTTTATATTGCAACTTTAAAATTCCACAATCACATCAGTTACGTTCAGCAAGAACACAGTCGGTCTACACTGACTTTATCAAACTCACATATTTATTAATGGACCTGCTGTTATCTATGCACTAAATCATTTATTGATGCTACATAGGACCCGACTGCACTAGCCGACATCTTAACCGCTGAACTGGAATACGCAAGTAGAAGTTCGGCTTAAGTGCTCCTAAGTCCGCCCCTTAACTATGCGGTGACCGCAAGCGCACGACGATAAAAACTGCAAGTTTGGAGCCCTCTTTACGAGAGGCGTCCGGCAGAATTATAAGAGGTTTAGGCGGCAACTGCACAGATATTAAATTCGGCCCGCCAAGTGCGCCAGGGACGCGATTCCGGCGGTAACCGTGCCCGTTTTTAGTCGCCGTGCTAATTCCGTCTTACGTTCCGTTTGCCTAACACATTGTTGTTTGACCGCCCTAACACATTGCTGGTTTAAAGCGGTTTTGCACAACGCGACGTTTGGCGCTTTTAATATCAAAACTGAGCTGTTTTGGTAATATTTCACGGAGAGACATCGCTCGATCGGTTAATCGGATTAGTGGTTTCAATGTTGGGTAATTAACGATCACGATAATTTTTTTAGTGGTGCAAGACATTTGATAACAATATGCAGTGATAGCTAAAAGCACATTACATGAATCGTCCATGGTTTTGCTTTAACTAAAATTTTAAATTCTGTAGAAAAAGTACGAAAAGATTGTCGCCGCTGTGTGAATCGAACCCACGTCTTCGGCAACAATCTTTTCGTACTTTTTCTACATATTTCAATATTAAAATCTTAAGTGCAAAGATTAGCACTATAAACAATTTAAATTTCTAACTAAAATGTGTTTGAGTCATGTAAAGAGCATGGCTTCATAGAAATATGTCGTAAGCTGTAAGTAATCATTATTTATATACTTCTTGTGCACTTTTCACTGAACATATTAAGCAAGAAACATAATATGTATGCATGAATAAGATGCCCTACTGAAATAATTAAATATCACACATGTATAATATTGATTTTTGACTTATACATATATAACATTAGAGAAGGGAGTAAGTTATGGTATGTGTATTCAAGACCGGGCTAGTACATCGCTACGAGTTGTACAGCGCAGAATTCTAGAACATGACGGCCATCGGGGTCCCGGTCCGAACCGCAACCTCCATGGCCCTTAGATGACACACCATAGTTAAACGCACGCATGAGCACATGCGCGGCCCTACCCACAGCGGAGGCCCAAACCCGTGGATTCTGGCTAGCCCACCGGTTCTGCGTCAGCTGAAGCTTTAATAGTCTCGGGACTGAAAGCAAAAACATCAGTTAATACAAGATACAAGATTCTAGAACGTTCCGATTGGCCGGCGTCGAGTTAACGTGCGCGTACATCAACTTTCCGTCGGCGGAATAGCGAAATCGCTCCATCGATAACTCCTGCCGGCTGACAGTTATAGGCACGGGCGTCATCGATAACCGAACGGTGGAATTATAAAATCCATTCGCCGCGACCGCTCCAAACAAACGCGCCGATTTACGAGCGCATCGGGTATAATTCGAGAAACTCGAACATTATCATAACATAAGTAATCGAGCACTGACTCAGCCGAGATATTGGCCGTAAAGCAATATACGCGGATCGGGACTAGCGTAAATATTTGGGCGGCAAAGAGCTATGCGCCGACAATGCCCCGCAGTCGAATGTTAGGACGGATAAATCCATCGTTGCACGGGCGTAAAACAGTACATATTTTGTTACGGGATTTAAATCAAGAAGCGCGCGGGCGATCGCGGTGGCCACGCCGCCCGCTTGGTCCGGGACACGTCTCCGAAATATTTGAAGCGTGAAGAATTTGGCTTCAGCTCCATCGAAGTGATACAGAAAGAATCTTGTGTTTAATATGAGGAATGTTTCCTTGCGAACTTTGGAAAATGAAAAACCTTAAAAAAGATCTTACGTACTGTAACGTTTCTATTGTGGGTGTCTAGATAATGTAGATCTTACGTACTGTGTACCCCTTCTGCCACCTCATCACATACCACATAGATCAGTTTGATGTTAATTTATCATTCTATAAAATAAAATATTAAATTATTATTATTTTGTGTTTTAATTTGGTTTTTTTATCAACATTTTCACATGTATATTTTTTCTTTTTCAAACATTATATATTACAAAAGGGATATGAAATATATTTTTATGTCCTATGTCTAATAAAAACTACTGTCTAATCTCTTGCGATCCGGTGAGATAAGATTCACTAAAATTCATAGACACCGCCTGACATTAGATAGCTTAAATAGCCGTATGTTGTCTATGTGTAGTATAACGATGATATTATGTATCTATGATTATTATGATGATTTATTTAACACTGTTTGACTAAGTAAGATTAGTAAATATTTAACTTTATAAAAATTAAAGAAAGGATAAAGTATTCGATAAAAATTTTCTTATCTCTTAACAGCAACCGAAACTAAACTATTAAATCAAATCGAAATAACAAAATAACTATTGTTTATTAATGTCGAGTACAATATCCTACTTCCTTTCTATCTTTTAATTCCGACGCTTTGGAAACACCACTGTTCTAAGGAGAAAGTATTCAATAAAAACTTTCGTATCTCTTAACAGAAACCGAAACTAAACTGTTAAATCAAATCGAAATAACAAAAAACTATTGTGTTATCGCTATCTACCTAAGTCCCGGCGCTGTCCGCAAGAAACGGGAACGCGTGGACACTGCCGGGAGGTGTTTACGCGCAGACGGCGTGAGATCCCGGCCGGGCAATTCGTCATCGGGCGAATGAATCGCTCGTCGATCGACCCCGGCCACCAGCCGCCCGACTGTTTGTTTGATCGTCGGACGTGCACGCGTCACGACACGAGAAAGCGACTCGATCTCGTCGTTGCCACCGAAGTGATTTATCGGTTGGGGCATTAAATGCTGTACTTAACGAAGGGTGATTATTTTGACGCAGCTCGGTATAAGGAAAGATTATTCAACAAACATGTAACTATGGTGAAGGTACTTCGGTTCATCGTAAAACGAATGGGAAGGCTCGTCAATGGAACTGGCATGGAAGACCTGCATTAAGAGGAAGGATATTTTGGCGTTTCATCTACTGAATACGGGTCGAATCTTTAGATTGGCCACTCTACTTATGTTGTAGATGTACGGCGATATTGTATCATGGTGGTAGGACCACGCAGCAGCCTCGGCTGTTGCACGAATGGGCAGGCCCGTCCGGGTAAATACCACGACCTCACAGAGGTCCAGCGTAAAGTGAAAGTATGACAAATACTTTCGCGTTTCGCCTGGTGAGTGAGGTAGCCGGAGCCCAATTTTCAAAAGGTTGTCAACGCATCTTTAACCCTCGGTTCTAGCAGATGTCCATGGGCGGCAGTATTCACTTAACGTCAAGTGACCCGTCTGCTCGTTTGGCAAATATTCGCATAAAAAAAATATTGTATCAATTGGCTTCATATTTGCTCCAACTTGAGTAGCACGGCCTTGCCAAGGACCCTAGTAAGTAGTAGTTTAGTAAGTGTAGTAGACCGTAGTATTTTACCTACTCTTAAAGCTTGTGGTTGATGGTGATTATTTACTTACTTACTTCGCTGTCTGAGCAATCCAAACAGGATCTTGGCCTCTGACACTTGCCAGTTGGCTGATTGGAGAGCGCTCAGATCTTGTTGATGATTATTTACTATCTGTATATTAATTTACTTTTTTATTTTAAACATTGCCTTTACTTTAGCATAACATTATCTTGTGTTGTAAGGATGTTTCACAAACATAAATTTCACTCGGACAAACATCCAGATCCGAAGCAACTATCTGTGGGTTACACAAATAGTTGTCTCGTGTGGGAATCGAACCCACGACCCCCGACGCCGAAGCCAATACCTTGGCAACTGCGCCACGAAGTTTAAGTTTTTACATGCCAAAAACCTAACAGGAATACATTCCATTCGTTTTTGTAGAGATGGGATGTTTCATTACTTTTTTTAAGAGGGCGAAAGAAAATACATCGGTAGAAATACTATTAAAATATTTATTACTATCGCGAATCCGAAATAAAAGTAAGTAAAAGTAAAGTAATAAATGTCCCACAACTGGGAAAAAGTCTCCTCTACAGAGGTTATCAGGGCGTAGTCCACCACGCGGCCCATCTGCGGATTGGCGGACTTGACATAGTTTCGAAAAATTTTTTTTTGTTATTATTTCTAAAATATGCAGGTTTCCTCACGATGTTTTCCTTCACCGGTAAGCACGTGATAAACGAACGCTTATATCAAATGAAATAGGATGTATCTTCTAAGTTCTGTTCATTGCATCGGATGAATAATTATAAATAAATAATATTTTTCGGACAGTTTTTTTACACAACATTCTCTAGTCCCAAACTAAGCAATGCTTGTACTATGGCTACTAGAAGAATGATAAACATACTTGAACATATTTTTCTTTTGTAAGTACATACATGTTATACATACATAAACACCCAGGCACTGGAAAAACATTACGTTCATCACACAATGTTTTTCTAGTAGTGGGGACCGAAGCCACACTCACCGGCGCAAGAGGCGGGTTCGCTACTCCCCACGCCAACCGGGTAGTCAATACGTATGCTATAAGTCATAAGTTGAGACACATCTATTTATTTCTTAGCTCTACCAACGCGATGAGCCCGTAAATTCACAACTCTCATCTCAAATTTGTCGATCAACGCTCGCACCTCGCACGGCCGATGATAGACAAGCTTATGCACCTCCTTGTACTCAATAACATGTGTTCCAAAATTACACAAACAAACTGCCGCGTCCCAAACAATTCCATGACGGTGTAAACAGAAGCGGCCGAAGTTCTTTAGTTATGGTAATGCATATTTTTAACAATACACTTTGCTATATAACTCGTTCTCGTCTATTGATCTCTTGTTTTATCGCAAACACTATATATACATTTAAACGTAACTGTTTTACGGAATTCGGCGCGTTTCATTTTGATTTTAAACTACCGTCGTTTCAAACTCTTTCCAGCGTTCACGGTCATCGGATATACTGCTGCTAAAGTCTTGACCAGAAATTTTAGGAATTTCATTGACAAGTTAATCGTGACTCTGTGCGAACCGGGCACAAATACTACATTGATTTTCTTCATTTCATCATCGTCAGCATTTGAGCTTGTTACGAAGCACGATCCTGAGGCACCTTCGACTTCCCGCACATTTCCGTAGCTGGTCACTCCATCTAGTGGGGAGCCATCCTAAACTGCGATGGCCAGTAACGAGGCTGCCACTCGAGAACCTTTCTTCCCCATCGGTTATCGGTTCTTCTATTATATGGCCGGCTCATCGGCACTCTAGCTTATTAATCTTCTGAGCTCGAGTATGTCTTTTACTTTCTTTCTACTGCGAATATATTTGTTTCGAACTCTACCACATTTGTTCTTCATTTAAGGATGATAAAATATCTACGAACTTATCCCAAGTCTCTCTAACCTCTACAACTGCATAAATGCTGTAATTTCTAAACTATTTTTAATAACTGTATACACTCTACTAAAATTTGCAAATCTGATTTTGACGTTATTACGTAGAAGCAGCTATTCAAGGCTTTTGACTTAGATACTTTAACTTGAATTTGAAGATAGCTTTCAGCGTATTTTATTTGACATTTAAAATACAATGTTAATATAAATTTTATATTAAAACAACTTTTAAAATCTATTACATATCCAACAAATACAAGCACGCAAAACAAAAGCTATTAATCAAATTTATCTTTACTTTCGTATAGTGAATACATAAAATATTATCTGGACGTGTAATAAGGCCAAAGATCGAACACATTTACCATGTCACATTCGGAAAAACATCGTCTCCGTCTACTACATCGTGGTAGGCCGTCAAGAAAAATCATTCAAGAATTCAAATATGCTTTGAACCTGAAATATCAACAAAACGGCCGTAAACCGCCTACAACCGGTTCGATCTAGTTTTTGTGGTAAATGACAGATACATGCGGCCCGTGCCGTTTGTTTTGACGTTTGTGGTACAATCGCGCTCGCAAATAAATATAAACTCATTTTTGTTGATAATGAATCGCGTTTAATGTGCAACTGTGTTTGATTGCGGTCGTAAATACCCGTTTGTCCGTCGGCCGGTAATTATTTCCATAATTACGCGTAGAACGCGTTGGCCGTTTTTGATATTTTAAAACCTGTGCGCGCGACTGTAATTGACTTTTATTCGAATGGAAATAACCGTTGTCGGGGCGCGATTGTTTTTTGTTGCGTATTAATTGTCGTTAACAGCGCGGCTCAACGGTTTGTGTAATGTTAATTAATTGTGTGGAATTGAGTTTCGCAGTTGGATTGTTTCCGAATGCTTATGTTTGACGCGTTGTGTTGTTTAACGGGGCAGTGGATGCCTCTGCCATTCCGCAGAAGATTCCAAAGCCCATCGTACGGGTGAAGAACAAATGTTAAACCAGATTTATTGGAAGCTCTTGAAAAAAAGAAAATAAAATTGCTAACTAAAAGTTTGCGTATATGCAATATTTCATGTATACTGGTTAGTAGCTTTTCTCCTTACGCATCACAAATGAAAGAAAAAGTATAAAAACTTTTGCAACGGTCTTCCGTTCCCGCACATTTCTCGGATCCAGCCAGCCCTACATGCATAGACAAGAGAAACGGTAATTTAAAACTACTACAGTACACAAAACTATAGCATTGAATTTCTTCTATTTAACGGCTGTGGTGTTGCAAAAACGTTGAAGAAATTTTCCTTTCCCCGCAATATTTTACGAACAACTTGACTTTTAGCAATATATCGTCAAACGTACGTTGCAATATATCTATTTTAATTTGCATATTTCGATTGTTACAATCACGTGCACATTAACCTTACCTATAAATCCTAAATCTGGACTATCACTACCTACTGTTTATGTTACGTTTTGTTTAAGGATGTAACAATATAAAACTTATGGACAACCGCTAAACAGTTCATAAGACTAAGGACTACTTGATTAAGACTAAGGACTGATTGAAATAGTCTTTTCACGCTTTTATTTTCACAGCGTTAAACCGCATTTCGGTCCAAATCATTTTAATAACACTTACATATCTACCAAAGGTTTCCAACCTCACACCGGTCTGATTCATTTCGTACCTCTTCAGTTATCCCGCGGTCCCAGTCTGGTGGTCGTTAAGTCGGCATTAACACCGACAATCAAAGCCGGAGCGTCCAGGCGTTGGTGTCTAACGCAGAACTTCACAACGCTGCATCGTTAGATCGACAATGGAGCAGCCTTCTGCTTTGACGTCCGTCAATGGCGAGAGTTCAACAATGAATTTCATTATAATGAGAGCTCTGCAAATGATAACCTCATCGTCGGCAGCGGAATGAGTCATGCCGCATTCAAGCGACGAGTTATTGTGACGTCCACGCTTGCAGCACTTCTATGCCGCGACGGACAACGACAGTCTGGAGTCGTCTGTATCGTTTTTATTTGGCGTCACGACTTCTTCAGTTTGATTTTGTCTTGCTTTATTTCATTCTGTTTTATTAAAAGCCACAACAGATAACACATTATGATAAATAAAATTATGGTAATCTGTTATGTACAACCTTAGTCAATTCTTTTACGAGTTGTAGTATTAGGTTAAACACTACTCATTAATAGCCTATTCAGACTTGCTGTGTGAAACTGTTCTTCTCCTTTGCGTTTTATGAAAATGAAAGCAATGTTGATTTTGTAACATAAATCTATTGTCTAGTGGATTTAATTTTAAAAAATTAAATCCACTAGACAATAGATTTATGTGGATATTTATGGTGCATTGATTGTGTAAATAATGTGGATGCTATCAATTCTGAAAGTATTGAAAGTAGGAAAGGAATAATCTTTAGAAACTTTTTTCACAGT